GTCAGGATCGATCGATATTAAGATAAACGACAAAGATTACGCACATGAGTCACTCCCAAGATAATAGACATTTTCATTTTGTAAGAGTTAGTAAAAACGAGTGCGTTGTCTGAGCCGTGCCATCCAGGATCCAAGCCGAAGGGGTAGACGTGCCCATTGTTGACACCAATGACAGAGGTCGCGTTGGTGTCTGGGAAAGTCCAGCCTGAATGCCAGATGTGAAGGGATCGGGAAAAGATATCGTTGTACATGAGCCCGGTGTACATTGAAAACAGGCCCATGAGGAGAATGATGTATCGACCACTATCACACCAAACAGTTAGTGATATGACTTTGAGCAGTAGAATGAAACTCACAAAAAGAATTGTCCTGTGATCTACACGCCATTCCGTTAGGAGAAAATCCGCGAATGCAGCATTGAGTACTCACCTCGTCAAGGTCAGCGCGTGCAAGCCTCTTCTCAGACATGATCATGTACAACGCAGCGCAGAAGATGATAAACCCATGACCAATGTCACCAAACATGACTGCAAAGAGGAACGGGAAAGTTGCAACGGCAAAGAGACCAGGGTTTGTCTCCTGGTACTTCGCCGTGCCATAGCTGTCCATAATAGTCTGGAAGCCGATCGTAAACTTGTTCGTCCGAATGAATGTAGGTGGGGTCTTGTGTGTCCTTATCTCGTGCAAGATGGGTGGAACGCTCGTGCCAGATTCCTCCTGCACACAGGAAGATCAGCACATAAGTCACGAGAACCCCAAAATCTACCGAACGTACCGTAGCATGTCTAAGAGCAAGCTGAATGTTGACAATATCCCTCGTGGGCACCCAACCCTCCGCAATGAGGGTTTTCCTCCTCACATCGTAGTTGAACAAATTTAGAGTCTCGTAGATCATCTTCTCCTTCCTGACAACATCTTGCCAGCTGCGAAGATTCTCCCCCAACTTGAGTAACTCTGCGCGGCGGTTGACGCGAGTATTATAGAGAACAGCCTCGATGTCTTCCAAGCGAGATGTAACTTCCCGCAAGGAATCCGAGCGCTTGTCTGCGTTAGCATCGATAGGGTACAGTGTTGCCCCCATAGATTCGGCGACTCTGCGAATTTTGGCGAGGAGAGCATCGCCGTGTGCAAAGATGATGAAGACGTTCTTGCGGGTTTCTTCTCCTGTGGCGGGGTCGACGAAGGGTTCCTCGATGTCAGTGTGGTTCATGTATAAGTTACCACGAAGGACACGCCACAGGACCCTTTCGAAGGTAGAAACGCGGGAGCGCTCGATTGTGCCAGCGACGAATCTGTGGAGAAAAGAAAGTGTCAAAAAGTTGAAGGATACACGTCATTTCGTAGGACGTACTCAAGGTCGAACTGGACGCTAGCAGAGTACTGCGCTTCACGTTCATCGTGCTGAAGTAAAGGAGCGGAGCTATCGTCAAAGGACGACCTAATGTTGGTCTGCTGTCCTTGGGCCTATGATAACGAATCAGGCAAAACTGCGGAGCAGAGCTTCAAACAAGCCACGAACCTTGTCGAAAAACACTGCCGTCTCCCTGAGCACATGCCGCGCCTCAATAAGCTCTTTGGTACGTTCACTGAGTACCTGATAACTGTCATTCATCTTGACTAGCCTCGACTCATGCTCTGCCAGCGTGACATCAAGCTCGTCGATGGTCTGCGCAGCGCGCGGGCCCACAGTGATCAGTGGTGCTGAATCGTACAAAGGACGAATAGGAACAACGTCCTTTTCTTTCTCGATCTGGCTCGCAAAGAAACGGACGCGACGGGCCATGTCGTCAATACGGCGAATCTCGCCGACGAACGAACGTTGGAATGGATTAACGCTAGGGTTTAACTGCAAAAAAAAATGAAATTAGACTTTGTAAAGCTGGAGAAAAACAGTAGGTAGATACATCTTTGAATTGCACATTGCCAAGTTCACCAAGTTCCGCAACTGTATCGTGGGCTACTTCGGTGGGTACATAAAGCTGTACCAAGCTCATCTGTTCCGAGCCTACAATAATTGTCAGGATTATGTGTAAGGCTTATAGAAATGCAAACTTACGGAACAGACTAGGGTATTCGTCCATTAGGGCCAGCCAATGAGTTTGGATGAATATGGTTGCAGTTCACTCTGTCGATTCGTACGGCTTACGATGTATTTGTGCGTATTTGTCTTCAGCTTTCCTCCTCTCACTCTCCTCGCTAGTAGCGGCTCATCCAGTGTTAACACGAATATACTGATATATAAGCTACTTCGAGGCTAGATTTAACGGTATGATAATGCAGATATTTTACCTGCATATATATATATCAACCATCTACCTCTGTCAAGAAAGTGATGTTCTCTGACTCTCGTTATTATGATAGTACGCTTCATTAATCATGTCTATATCGAAATAACCTGATGAATCAATGCCTCATAGCAATCACTGTCTGCCCAGGTCCATGAGCTCTTAGATGACATTATATGACACAGGGCGCCTTGCCCATAAACGCACACGATGGCAACAAGAATCAGTTACCAGTGATGATTATGCAATTCGATTTTCCTCGTCCCGCTTCTCCTAGTATCTTTCCGAAGAAGTGCCCTCATACACATGGTAACGCTAATAGGGCTCCATTTTTTCTAACTACAACGAAACACAATGCTAGAAGAAAGAAGCTGAGGACTCAATCTGGGGAAAAGAAACTCCGCCTTAGGAGTGCTTCACACCTTTCTTCCTGATGGAGAACTTAACACGGCAGCTGAGCTCAAGGTCTGTACAGCCTCGCTCTGCCGAGTGCGGATTTAGACTTCCCTCACCTTGACGTTTATCTGGTGGGGATCTCTCTACGCACCCAGGGCGGAAGAGGAGACTCTACGGTCATTTATCTTGACATAACTTGCAGGCGGTGGGTATATCTGGAGAAAGGTAAGGAGCAATTCCAACACGATCGATCGAGATCAGTGAGCGTCATCCGACTTGACCACAGCGTCGTCATCAGTATCCACCAAGCCGCCTCATTATTTCTATCCCTATTCTGCTTGATTTTTGTCTCTATAAAATCCGTATCGTACATCAGTACAACTCCACAATAAGACAGGTGCGACAAAAATCCACTCATCAGGGTTAAACTCACAAAATGACTCTTTCTTCCAGTCCAATCACCGACCTACAAAAGAAAGTGTTCAAATAAGGGCACGAGGCAAGCCGTTAACAGATTTATCCCTTCAAGGCGCCTTGAGGCTTTGCACAGCCTACACACAAACAAAACTCGTAATTGGCTCTTGGACATGTGCCTTTGTCCTTTATCAAAAAAATCCACTTAATACGGAGACGAGTTGTGTGGCGACTGATCCTTGGGAGCCCCTTCACATCATCCCAACATCTTCTCACCTTTTCATCTTCAAGTCCAATTGCTCCAGAGATTATCATGCAGCGCACCGACCTCGTCCTCAATGCCTGGCGAGGGTTCTCTAGTTATATCAATGCCAATAACATCCTCCCATCCCAGCGTTCCACAGAACCCCCTCTTTCATTCGCAGAACTCCGTCCTCATGCACGCACATGCGAGGAATGGGAGCGCGAGGTGGTAGATCTTTATATGAAGAGCCAGCCCGATGGTTATGGCTCCGCCAGACAACGTATCCTAAGCGAGAAAGTGGTCGAGATGCGTACATACAAACAGCAATCGTCAGATTACATATACACCTATCTCGTTGTTGCGATCTCGACCATGAATTTGTCCAAGCCCCCAGTTCTTCTGCGTCTGAGAATGGAGCTTCCTGGCCGTCCCGTCGCCATGATGCAGCGGATTGACTCTTGGCCTAAAAGTAATCTGCTGGCTGAACAGTTGTGCTTCACCAGTCCACGGCCTGTCCTTCTCGACCTCGTTCTCCTTGCGCCTATAGTCTCCAGCATGTCCGATGAATATCTTATGAAAGGCCACGACTTCTTTTTTGCAGACCTGATCTTTCGGGCTTTCCAAGAGCTTTTCACTGTTGATCAACGCACTGGCAAGGTCGAAAAGAGATATACAGAACCAACCTTCGTGCTTCTTGATAGAAATGCGGATGCAAAACAGCCAGAGCGTTGTTTTGTGGTCCGCTTCCGTTCCAAGATGCTCGATGAGATTGAACCACAGTTCATTAAGAGGCGAAGAGAATTTGGGCTCAGGGTTTGTCTTTGCTACCTGTTGAATTTCTACAGTGAAGATCTGAATATGTCCGGCTTTAGGACACGCCAAGATCAGCTAGAGTTAAGGTATCAGGGGCTTCGTCGAAAGTCGAAATCAGGCGCCCGGAGCGCAGCATAACAATTGTAGATGGCCTGGATGCTGATCAACACCTATCTGAAAAGGCGAGAGGGAAACGGAGGGCGACTGAATAGTGCCGACTGGTGCAGGCTGCCATCAACTTTACATATTATGAGATGCCAATTGGAATTGACTTGCCCACCATGGCCCGAAATTTCTCCACTAAGGACATTTAGCAACTTGGTAGTTTAGTGATTTTAGGACATTTAGCCATGTGTTTGCGCAAAGTATTTAATTACTGATTTCTGTATTCTGTTTAAACAAATGATCCATTTTTTATTGGCCTAGGGCTGTTGAGCTCATGTACCGAGTATAAAAATGCTGTGGCGTAGCGACAGTCTCGTGTAGCCTACAGACAGACTGTGCAAATGAAATCACGTAGTTCCCATGGATGGTTAACAAGATATAGCACTGTGTAGGAAAAAGGTGGAAGAAATTACATCGGTATTCCCCCTAGCCGACTTGAACGACTGACCTCGTCATTGCCCAAGCTAGGACATGTTACTAGTGACGCGCTCTACCACTGAGCTAAGGGGGATACGTTCTTTGTCATCTTTATTACCTCCTCAAAAATTCTCGACATTTTATTAACCGCAGTGGCTCAGCTCTCTCAGGCTGAGCTTAAATCAGCTTTATCCAAACGAAACTGCGAAACCAACTCATTCTTCAAAACAATCGGCTTACTTGGCGATACGTGGCGAGACGCGGACGCGAGTCCATCCCCTCCATCACA